TAATCTGACCAAGGACCTCTCATCTGCGTTAACATAGGCAAAACCGACCTTACGTCTGTTTGCCAGTCGGTAGTCCGAGCTTGAATATATCAAATCGAGGTGCAGTTATGTGGATGAAGTGCGTTTTTGAGACAGATGGTCGCGGTGGTGCAGTTACTGTACAGATGATAGCTGGAGAACGTCAGAGTTTGTGCGGAGATCGTGGCCGGATGAATATGTGAGAAGATGGACCTCACCAGATTATCCTCCAAGTGGCATCGAAAAGCAAATATTCCTGTTCTTAGATGTTTTGTGCCTATCAGCCCCGCAGGCTCGGAGCATGGAGCTGCCTGCAAATTAACTTGGGAGGTTTTGTACATTTTTTTGCGACCACTGCTCTAACCCAAGTTCACCATCATCTGGAAAGGATAGACTATCGGCAGAGCTTATCTGTGAACCAACTTATTGTAGGTTGGGACATTTTTGGCTATCTTTGACCTGACCCAAGGACATTACCTTCTGGACAGAATGGCTATCGATCATGGCGCATCGATTGGTACAGCTTCCGTGCCGATCGTTCACATAGGCTCGGAACATGGGGGCATCTACAGCCAATATTGGAGATGTCGAATGTTTTTCATAACATTTGACCCGACCAACCGTCGCCATGTTTTGAAAAGGAGAGGATTCCAACAATGGCGCATAAATGTGTGAAAGTTTTGTAATGATTTGTTTCATGCGCTTGGAAATGGGAATGTTTTCAGGTTGATTTTTCCGTTTTTAAAATTTTTTTGTTGACCTTTGACCTATCCTTTGACCTTTGATCTATCCCCAAATCACCATGTTCTGAGAAAGACAAACTATCGACCAAGCGGCATCAAGTTTCGAAGGTTTCGTATTGATTGGTGCCATAGGATAGGAGGATGTGAGTGTCAACAGGTTTTAGCGGCTTTTTCCTCTCTCCCGTTCCTGGAGACTTACGCAAACAAATTTGTTGCACTGACCGCAAACAAGAATGAGCAATGTATATACATATATATATATATATATATATATATATATATATTTATATATCTCTCTCTCTCTCTGACTCTGTCTCTCTCTCTCTCCTCTCTCTCTCTCTCTCTCTCTCTCTCCTCTCCTCTCTCTCTCTCTCTCTCTCTCTCTCTCTCTCTCTCTCTCTCTCTCTCTCTCTCTCTCTCTCTCTCTCCCGTTCCTGGAGACTTAATGAAGCAAATTTGTTGCACTGACAGAAAACAAGAATGAGCAATATATGTATATATGTATTTATATATACATACATATATATATATATAATATATATATATATATATATATATATATAATATATATATATATATATATATATATATATATACACACACACACACATTTATCCCTCTCTAGAACCTATCTCTGTCTGACTCTTCCTGCCTGTCTGTCTGACACTGCCTGCCTGATTCTATCTGACTGATTGTCTGGTTCTGGTTGTCTGACCCTGCCTGCCTGCCTGACTGCCTGTCTGACAGCCTAACTGCCTGGCCATGCTTGACTCTGCCCGCCTGCTTGACTCTGACTTCCTGTTAGACTCTGGTCGACTGCTTAACTTTGCCTGCCTGCCTCGCTTTGCCTGTCTGTCTGAATCTGCCCGTCTGCCTGACTGCTTGCTTGACTGTCTGGCTCTGCCTGCGTGACTGCCTGACTCGGCTTGCTTGACTGCATGGCTCCGCCTGCCTGACTGCCTACTTGACTGTCTGGCTCGGCCTGCCTGAGTGCCTGACTACCTGGCCCTGCCTGCCCGTCTTGTTCTGCTTGACTGCCTGGCACTGCCTGCCTGACTACCTGGCTCTGCCTGCTTGTCTGCCTGACTCTTCCTGACTGACTGCCTGGCTCTGGTTGTCTGATTCACACATGGTTCCACCACCATCACCTTACATGGTTTCACCTATCCATTAAAGATAACAGTATGACATTTAAACGTTCGCCTTCCAGAGGCATTTAAACCTTGAAAATGACAGCTTCGCACGTTTAACATATACACATTGTATGTCAATTGAATGGACGAGAGACTCCTTTGATCACATTGAAATTGGGTAAAAATGTGTACCATGTACGTATACAGTTTTCGCCAAGTGGAAATTCGTGACATTTAAATTTACGCATTCCAGAGGCTCTCAAACGATGGGATACATGACATATCACTAAAACGGTACAGACAGCGTCGTAAGGTGCCATTAAGGCCAAGGAATGCTGAACAATGCCTCTCCTATGATGTAATTAGTCGTTGCCTCTCATATGGTGTGCCATATGACGATATGGCATGCAAAATATGACGTATAATCAAAAATGTCACATTCGATGTCGGTTTTAACGCATCCACGAACTGCTCTGATTGCTTTAAAATTCGCCCCCAATACACACCTTACATGGTTCCACCTAGCCACAAAATAAAGCACGACATTCAAATGCTCGCCTTCCAGAGGCATTCAAATCTTGGAATTGACAGCCTCAATCGTGTTAACATATATACATTTCATGTCAGTAACATGGAAGAGAGACTCCTTCGATCACCTTGAAATTT